CACAATTCACGTTAAAATCGTAATACATACCCAGAGCAATAGGCAATATTATCGCAAGCAATAAAGCTACCAACAAACGGTGCATCGCTATTATTACTGTACGAGTATATATCGAAAAGGATGGAAAGTTTTCGAATGAGAGAATGATAATGTTTTGAATTATATCGTTTTCCGAGAATGGTTTGGTGATTTTTATACCAAATGGTTCACTATCAGGCGTTCAGTTGCGGCGTACTAACTGGTAAATACGGAAACGGTTAAATAATCTTTGATCTGTTCGCAGTTACTTTTAACATACTCGATCTACCGGAAGTGCAAGTTCGACACGAACAACACAGCTACGCGTATACGTAATACACAATAAAGTGGACACCGTAAGCTTACGCACATAACCAGATGTACTGGTTTAAGGTTTTAGAGTCCTTTCAGTGGTGGCATGTACAATATGTAATATTTGAAGTATGCGATAAGAGGAAGACTAAGCAGTTTACTGCTAATTACAGATTTTCTATGGGAATTTGATTGTTTTCTTTGCTAATTTACAAGCGTTCGGATTGCATTTTGCACTTGTTGAATTAAACGTTTCTCAAGGCTGTAAACGTGAAGCAGGATGCATATAGTCCCATGTACTGATGCACACAGAAAGGCACTCATAAGGATATTAACTATATTTTGCAACGGAAAACGGAAAAAATGGTGGTACCAGTGGACATTTGTTTAAAAACTAGTAAACTGTTACGGTGCTCGTACACGTTTTATGTTTACAAACAAAGTTTTGCGCTTAACCGCTAGGTCCTCGAATCGTCCGCAGTGCGCTCGGTACAAATTGCGTGTTTCAGTTCCGACTTTGCAGTACTGTATGTGGTAAGATACTAGTAATAATAATAGTAAATTCTATGCATTTTGAGTCCTCGACTGACGACTGTGCAAACACTGCAATGAATGCACAGCCGGCCAGCGAATGAGCGTTGCCGGTGGTTTTCCATTACACAACCGCCAAACGGTTTTACGTGTCTGTTTAGAACTTTAACGCATCAGAGTCGTAACAACACAGATGATATTAGTGTCATATTACGAAGACGAAATTCCGGTATGGCACAAAGAGCGCGCTTAATTACTGAAAATCTTAAATAATTACGAACAGATCAAAGAACAGATCAAAATCATCCAAGTTTGCCATTTGGGTCACATCATCAGTTTTTGCCAGTTTTGCGGATTGCCGAACGTTTCGGTGCAGTGCTGTTACTATAAATAGGACGAATGTATCTATAAGGTAATTTACCGTTCGTTTTTCGTGAGATTGCTTAAAGTAGAATCGTATTTTAGTAGCAAGATGCAGAGTTTAATTTTGTTTCTCTGTTGTCTGTCAGCATCACCAGAAGTATTCGGTAAGTAGAAAATAAAGAACTTTGAATTTCTACGAACTTGACATGGTTAACCCATGCCAATGTGGCAATGTCGTAGGTGATACGGGTGGCAACAATGGAGCATCCTCTAACGGGCAAGCAACGAACGGACAAGTTGACCTTAACATTCAGCAGTCATCGGCGCTGGACAACGGTAATCAGCTTTCGGTGGGCAACTCGCAAAGCAGTCTGTCCGGCACATCAATATCCTTTAACAACAATATCAACGGCGGTCTTCAATTTGATCCAACGCTTCTTGTAAATCCGTACATTTCGGGCAGTAATTCGGCCAATTCGTACGGCAGTGGTACCACCGGAATCCTACAAAACAGCCACCAGAGCTATTCCAACAGCACCAACGACGGCCAACATCATTCGGTGGTCAGTCAGTCGCATATCACCGGCAACGGCACCGGACTCTCGCTTAACAATTACGCCAGTGGCGCTATTTCGGCCAGCAACAGCACAGACAGACCGCAGTACTATACAACTATGTATTATTATCCGTGCCCCGGTTGTCCACCACCACCGTGTTGCCCTACTCCAGGACCGCCCTTTTTCAGCGCAACCGATTCACCAATGCCCGCGCACTCTGATCAGAGACAACGCAAAATAGCGCCTCGGGCGAGAACGAGGAACCAGCAGCAAAAAGGACGAGGACAAGCCAAAGCGCACGAGAAGCTGCAGTGCGTATTAATCCTACTACTGCTCAACGAAAAGTGCGTAGCAAACTTTGAAATGTGTAGTGAGTAATGCAAACTCTAAATTATAAGGATAAGGGAAAATTGCCGCAGTGAGATGTGCAGACAAATTTTTTGTACGTTTACATCTAACAACAAACAACCATACTATAGTACATGTTAATAATAAACTAAATAAAAAAGCCGTAATCATTTAAGTATAGCTGCAAAAACAGTTACATGAAGTTAACAGAAACCAGCACACAGCGGAAAATTCGAAGGACAAACAAAGATAAAAGTGCTGCAATTGTTTAACGTACGGTTACGATTCGAATTGTAACAATACGTTTTTAAAGGTCATGGCGCAAAAACAAAATCCGCATTATCAGTACAAGTAGCAAACAGAGATTAAAAATTAGAGAATTTAAGTTTGCTTTCAGCCCCATAAATTAAAAAGGTACGAGTAATTTTCAAAATAACCGCGGCAAAAAATTTTGCTACCACTATTACTTTTTCCCGCACCCAGTAGTTTTATCAAACAGGCTTTCCCGTCTAAATGCCAAAGTTTTGATTCAGTCCGTGTCTGCGCTGTGATGTCGATGCGTCCCTCGCGACGGAGAGCATATCTCTCGTTAGTCTCGTTCAATGGGACCAGCTCGTGCATGTACAGCATAATAGAACTTCGCGTTTGTCCCGTTTACCGGTACAAAATCTTATAATAATATAGCCTCGCTACTTCAGGAGCGTGGTGAAGTGCGACCTGAAAGCATTTGAACGATTATAAGCAATCGAGCTCTTTCTTATTTTGAACACAGTTAAGTAATATATAGTATTAACTGGACGTCACTCTTAAGCTTAACTAACCATAAATTTTTTTAATTAGTGTAAATCTGCGTAAGCATACTCTACTTACGGCTGCCTCCGAAAAAAAAACTAACCAAAAATCTAAATTCGGCAAACAAGCTTTTCTCATAAGAAATATCTATTGGTTTATAAAACAAGAAAACAGGACGGTATCTATAGGTCGAAAGGTCACGATACGGGTACGGCATCGCATTCACAGCACTTCACTCTGCGCCGAATCTGCCGATCTAACGAACTGAATGCAACAAATTTTGCTATTCTATTAGGATATCGGTTACCGTTCGAGTACTGTAATAAAATAATCGGTGTGTTGATGTCTGTACCTTTATATTGAACATTTCGCTTTTCTACACGTATTCGTGCGTGAATCTGCTGAGAAAGAAAGGCGACGTTTCTGTTGACAAAATATATATACTCGTTTATGATATTATCTCGCATTTCTTGACCCATGGTGGGCGTTCGCAACGATAAGCGCACTAGTGACACTTCCTCTTTCTTAAACATACTTGTCTCTAAAAGAAGCAAGCCGTTCGATCATGGGCGGACAACAGGCCCTCGCTGAAATCCGGCGGCCCGGGATACAGAGCACCATTTGGTTTGCTGCCTTATTAAAATTGAACTCGAGTAGAGTGTCTCAAAATTCAAGTAACCTTTTTTACGGTACCAGTGATTGCTACAAAGTTTGCAAAATTTGATACGGCATAATTGTATCGCGTTAGGGAGCAGCATTTCATCCATATCCACAACTGGGTTGATAAAATTGGATGGTATCATTTGGAATGCCTGAATGCCTGGAATGCCTGAATGGTGCTCTGATTCTCCTCTGAAATTAATATCGGTGAGTGATTTGTTTTGACACATTTTTTAAGTACATTGTTGTACAAGTATCTTCGCTTCAGGCAAGGTGCGTTTATTGAGCTTTTAATTGGTACTTGACTCGCATTCAAGCATTCAATCTGCATAAAAGACTTTAATTGTTAATTTTTCTGAACCACATACAGTAAGTGTGAGAAATATGAGAGAGGGTGAAATACTCGTATGAGTGTAAAATATGAATGTGTGAACAGCCACCGGTTTTCTTTGTTTAACAAATTTATATGTAATCCACGTGATTAAATTTACTGATATTATTATGAAATATGCGGTAGAGTACTTTCAAATTATAATAGGGCAACCCGTTCTGGGAAGTCAATTCACATGCCGACTACACTGAGTGGGCTGGGACACATTCTTTTTGTCTGTGTTGCCGGCTGCGTGTTATTGCAGCATACCTAATAAGAATGCAATACTTTTACCGGGCCAGTAATTAATGATTAACAGGCAACATATTACAGTACACAATTGTTGCCTTCGTTGAAACACAGGCTCTCGCGCGGTACAATTAGCATAATGCCGCTTTGACGATATTAGCCGGGCATCGATCGATACCCATCCATTTACAGTTGCCATTTATCCCCCGTAAAATAAGCATGGGTATTCGATCGTTGCAAAAACCTCGTCTACCTCTATGCTCTTTTCCATTCCAGCAGACATCCAAAAGTAATCCTCCTAATGACTACTTCTCCGGCATCTCCGCTGCGGCAACTACCTGCCAGCTGATCCATTCCGTCATTACATGCACCACAGCGTAACACCGAACTGAGACCTGTACACCGACGCATCCACTGCATCGGGGTTTGATTAGTTCAATTTCTCTGTAGAATGTCCATTTCCTTGAATGCTTCTTTACGGGAATATGCAGGCGCATATCTGTAGAATAATCCGCTACCATAGAAGCCATAGATGCGCATCCCGCAGTGGGGAGACAAATTGCTCCATTTCACGCCGACTGCGCGGATCGTGTACAGATATACACGGCCATCGGCTGTGCATCTAACCGTCTAAACGAATTACAACCGGCATTGATCGAATGTGCACCATCGTCTGCGTCATCCGTTGTTTATTAACCTTCGGGGAACGGCTTAGTGTGTGGGCTCATGACATGCAGTGATACTGCGCTATCTTCTTCATAATATCCTCGTGCGTTCGGTTTTCAGGTTGTCGCGACGCCATGCTCGTGATCGTTTTTCTCTTGTTATGCGCTGAGGAAATTCGCGGAGCGTTCAACGGTAGTGGTCAAGTGTGCGAGGGATGTGTTAGCGGGATGCAGGAAGGTCTGGGTGAACCGGCGGGAATGGGTGATGCACTACTGGCCCAGTGGTATAATGATACCCTGGCGCAGTGGCTCCTGGCGACAGCGGCCATGGAAGCCGTGGCCTCCACGCCGCTCAGCTATCGTGTCATCGCCACCAGTATGCATGTGGTCATCTTCTGCCTGGGCGTTACCGGCAACGTCATGCTCATCATCGTCGTGCACAAGTCCAAGTTCTTGCGAAGCCCGACGTATCGATACTTGGTAAGAAAAATGAGCTGTAGAACGTATACTGACGTAACCAGGATTAATAAGCATCGTTTGAGCTTTAAAGCGTACCTAGTACATTAATGTACAATAGCTTTCAGCGCTCACGTAGTTTTTCTTAAAGATCTAGTATTTACGCATTGTTTCGCTGATGCACAAAATGAGATGCAGTTCGAGAACAACGACAATTATTCTTCAAATTTTGCGGGAAACTTCATTTTTTATATGTAACCGGGTAAATGGTGGATAGACAGCGCGTTGAATAAGTTAACGCTTACCTAACGAGGCAGAGCTCCATCAGCGCATACTGCTGTGCAATGACCTTTGTCACTGAATGCACATTACCGCGAAGGAAGCAATAATTAATGATAATGGTTTTGGTGAATGTCTGCGATAACGACACTGGTCCGACCGTGAATTAGGTGCTACAACAAACCGAAAAATTCGAAATGAGCAGTCTTAATTTGGGGGTTAATGAGGCCTCACGTGTTAAACCAAAGTGCGCGGTAAGCGTCATCAAGTGAAACAGGAGCGGCAGCGCCGGAAAGTTTTTTATCCGGTCATGCCCATGCACGCCGACAAGTAAGTGCACGTGCAGCTCAGCACGTCAGCACTGCTATGGCCTAAGCCCGTAATGGCTCTTCACGCCTTGGTTAATGCCGGTATAAGAGCATTAAAAGGCCCTTAATTATCTTCCCCAAGTTTTCCTAATAATACTTTTTTGATTGGTGTACTACTTCTTAGGTTTTTAGATATAATTTTTTGGTATACCACTCCTTCTTACAATGGACACCATAAATGTGGTTACACTTAAACCGCGCGCAACCAGATACTTATCTGTACTCAGACATCCAATTCCGTGCTGACCGTCGGCCTGCTGATGTTTACACTTGCACCTTGCACATTTCCCAACGAAAACCATCAATCGATAGCTCAAACGAATGAGAAAAAAATTCTAAGAATTTTGATACCAAACAAATTGGTTTTTATTACTTGTAGAGAAAATCGAGGTTCTTAAAGTTTCCGTAGACAAAGCATAGGATCCTGCGTGTGCGTGAAAACAAACCAAACCGTGGATTCCATGCTATGTCTACGGGAAACTTTAGGAACCTCGATTTTCTCGAAGTAATAAAACCAATTTGACATATCAAAGTCTGAAAATCTTTACTTTTGGCATTTTTAATAATATGGGGTTTACGGTATTTAATTAAACCCATGGGCCTCTACTGGGGGGGCTTATAACACCAAACAACCTTAGGGGCTCTAGTACGGGGGGCTTGTATGGGGGCTTCAAATTCGATAATTACGGTACGTACGATCACAGCTGATGCAGATGGATTACACAGTACACCAGTAAGCAATGTTTCGTTAAAATATAACAGTCCTAACACTGAAATGTATGATAAAAAGTTGTCATGCAGTAGGTACTCTGTACAATAATATTAATGTTTATAATGTATTATTTGCTAGACGATTCGTTAGTAAGTACTGTAATGTATAGCTTGTTTGATTTGAATAATCAGCATATGTCCAAAAGCCAGCGTCACTCCACCATCAAGGGAATTCGCCGTAGTATCCGTTTCCGCTCCAGCTCGAACTTTAACTGCGGCCTGGAAAATTACGGGCAATTAATTGGATCATGGAAACAACCGGCTATATAAAAGTTTACGCTGGAGGCTTAATTCTACGGTTATCAGGACCCTACGATTAATCAAGCGTGGGCCGAATCGTGCGGGATAATAATTGGGCGTATTTTTCGGTTCCCAAGAAAAAGTGAACCACTGTGGGTTTGCTTGGAGAGGCTTATTAGTGAGACAGAAGGAAAGCCCACTCACTGGATCACAATTCGCCATGACCGCCCTGATTAAACCGCCAAGCGAAGCGATGGAAACATTCCACCTGAATATCTCTTGACCGGTTGCAGTCGTTAGGACGTCGGCATTCTGACTTTGGAAGTCGCCTTATTTCCGAAAGTAAATTGCTCTGGGACAGCCGGAGAGATGATAAATGTCGGTCAAAATCTGGGTAGATGCAGTCTAATTTATTTCAGTTGAGTAAGTAATTTTAATCTTTAGTGTCCCTTCTCAATACGGCTTCGAACGACGTCAGCAGCATAAGTATCACTCTAATGACTCACTTAGAAAAGGTCTAATGTTATGTTGACCTTTCTAAGAAGAAGCTAAGAAGAAGACGAAGCAATGGTGTCATTGTTTCTTTTTGTATGGTTTTCGTTTAAATTCGCTTTGCTTTGCTAGTTCTGCTTTCTGTGGTATCTAACACTTGCATTACGAGTACTTAATTTCTTTTCTGCAAACATTCTGCGGAGACCAAATCACGAAACATATGGGCTCGCTTTTCAGTGCAAATAGGTTTTCAAAAAATACTTGATCTACTTTGTACAATGGCAGTTGACTAATGATCATAAGAGTTCCGATGTACTCGTACGACTTTATTATTTTAGTGAATTTTGTCACAAGATCGCCATCACGCTGACGATCGATAGCCATTCACAGCACTAACAAGCAAACGTTGCATACTTATTCCCAATTATCGAAGACTGATTAATTTGCTTTGTACGGCGATGCAATATGCATTAGTCGTTAGGGAATTAATTTATTTATTTATGCGCATATTAC